ACAGAAAACTGTCCTCGCTGTGGATTTGCTTTAGGGGTTGACAGCCCCCAGTTTGCCCGTTTTGGTGGTGTTTTACAGAAAAATGCCTTCCCGGGGAGGAACGAGTCCTGGTTTGGGATTGCAGGGACCGGCAGAAATGGGGGGGGAAACGGTGGGTTGAGGAGTGCTGCGAAAAGAGGGGTTCAAGTGTCTCCAGCTGGGGGATCGTCAGGGATTGGGATCCTCCAAGGAAGCTCCAGCCTTTTTTGGGCTGAAAAACTCTCCTTCTGGTGAAAAAATGCTGCTGAAGACTGGCTAAATGAAGCCACAGTCGCTGCTGTGGCCAAAGGGGACGTAGAAAGCGGAGGAAAGAAGGAAAATGCAGCAGCGGCTGAAGGATGCGCCGCGAATGTGTGATTTACCTGCTTTGGGCTTAATTTGCTCTTTGTGTAGATTAAGCTATAAAAGCGGAGAGGTTTTAACCAAAAAGCCACATTTCTGACCCTTTTTTGGGGGGAAAAACAGGCCAGCGGAGCAAAACGAGCTCAGAAGAGAAGAGAGCGACAAAGGGGAGCTTTGCGAGCGCAGCCGTGCCGCAAACGGGGAAAATCCCGCGTCGTTTGGTTAACGGTTTCCCAAAAGCAGCAAAATTTAACAGAGCGGCTTCAGGGGGAGCAGGGAGAATCGGTTCAATCGTTAACGGGATCAAGCAGATTTGCTTATTAAGCAAGAAATTTTATAAAGTAGTGAGGGGGGGAGAAGCCTTGATTATATTTAATTCAGCCCCACGGCGCTCGTCGTGGGACGGGGGTCGTCCAGCAGCGTCTTCACCTCCAGGAGAGCCGTTAATTTATTTTCTATAATTAATATTTTCCAGCAAAACCTTGCTGGCTGATATCACCAAAAAATACCGTTTTAATGAAAAGAAGTCGTGAGCGCCGGCGGCTTCGTTGCAAAATTATAAGTTACTGATCAAACAGCGGCCGCGGCGCAACCTGCCAGGGTTCAGTGGGCTGCGAAAACATCCTGAAATGGCTTTTTAGGAAAATGTTCATTTCCACATCGATGCGGGGAGGGGGGAAAAAAAGCAACGACCACGCGTGGATGAGCATGGGATGGCCGAAAGGCATGATTTCAACCCAAAAATGAGGTAGACAAAAGGTAATATTGTTTATTAGACCCAGGAAAAAAAAGAGGTGGAAATGGGAAAATGAGAAGCAAAGGTGAGCTGTGATTTTTTCCGCGGGTTTTTTTGGGGTGAAATCTTGTTGGTTTTTCAGCGTGGGGGAAGGAGCTGGTGGCCACCGTCCTTCAGGCGTTCCCGTCGTGCTGAGAGCTCATTCCGAGGTGACGGGTAACAAAATTTACCGAAAACGCTTGAATTTGGAGGGGAAAAAAAAAGTCTGGGTGGTTTGTAAAAGTTGTTGAGAAAATTGGGGTAAAAAATGGTGGAAACGGTTCTGGAAACATCACCGTGCCGCCCAGGCTGTTTTTAGGAAACTGGCCCAAAAAGGGGCTCGGCTGATCCCGATTTCAGCCCGTTTGCGATGGTGGCTTAATAAAAAATAACTTTCCGGGTGCGACCGGGCGCTGCCGAGTCCTCGAGGTCCCCGCGTGTCCCCAAAGTCCCCACGCATGGCCGGCACCTCCGCCCGTTTTCCCCCAAAATACCGTTGCTCGACCAAAACGCTGTTAAAAACCGC